CTTGATGTAGGGTGACAGGTCCATGCCCACTCAAAACCACACCTTTCTCCAGCCCAGTTAAGCTGAAAAACGTTGGCACTTCTCCTTGCCTCCCCTCCAGGAGAGGAGATTTACAACAGCTACTTGTTGTCAGAGAGGCATTCATCATCTTCAAACAAGCACAAAACACAAGCTTGCCAAACTGACAGCTAAGCTGCAGATACACGTGACCACAGCAGCTGTTCTGCACTAGAACAAACTCAAAACCAGGTAAACACCCAGTGAGGTGCCAGCCACACTTTGAAAACCACAGTCATACTTACTATAGGCAAGTCCCCTCCTGCACCCACATGCTGCAGTCTGAGTATTAACATGTCCAGGCACTCGAGGAGGCCTTCCAGGGCTTAACAGGGCTGTGGCTCAGCTACAGTGATTTCAGGTGGGTGTTTGGAACCAGAACACATCTTAAGTGAGTAGAGGCTAAGGGAGCAGGGACTGATCAGCCTGGAGAACAGGAAGCTCATGGGGAATTTCATCAGTGTCTGTAAATACCTGAAGGGGAGGTGTAAAGAAAGCAGCAGTAGATTGTTTTCATTGGTGCCGTGTATCAGGACAAAAAGTCATGGGGAAAATCCGGAATACAGGAGGCTGTGTCTGAACATCAGGAAGCACACTTCTGTGCTCTGAGGGTGGTGGAGCACCAGCACAGGTTGCCCAGAAAGGGTTTGGGGTCTTCCTCCTTGGAGACCTTCAAAAGTTACATGGACATGGGCCTCAGCACTCTGCTCTGGGTGCCCCACTTAAGCGGGGTTTGGACCTGGTGGCCTCCAAAAATCCCTTCCAACCTCAACTCTGTGGCTGTGCCCCCATGCTGAGTTCTGTGCAACGGTGCCAAGAAGGCTTTTAGACTCCCAGAAAATAACAAGTCTGATTAAAATATCAATGGTGATGATTACCTTCTTGCTATTATTTCATACTCGGCATTTCATTATTGTTGCAACAGATGCATTGCTATCAAGAAAGCTGGCCCGCTCCATTTAGTATTTTGTCAAAGGCCAACCTTGAATGTCGCTCTACAGGAGGGGCAACTCAAAATCAAATGCAAGTGAATATCCAGTGAGGAGACAACAATGCTTTGAAAGCTATGACCCCACTTCACAAGGTTACTTCTGATTCACCTGCATTCACGCACTACAAATCACAAAATGACATGGCAGGTTGTTCCAGGAGAGCTGCCAGGTTTTCCAGGAAGCACAAACACCATGACTCAGCTGAAGGATTGAAATAATTGGATCTCATTGTTCAACCATACTGAGTGCAGCCAAAGAAAAAGTTGAAGGCTTTTCAATTCTCATAAAGGTAGGCTTTAAAATGCTGCAGGTGATGACAGTTATCTTTGTCTGTACAAATAAAGCAGTCAAGTTAAACAGAACAGAAAAGCCTAAGCAGAAAAGCCTAGACATGTAACCATATCCTTCCAGCAGATCTTCCCAGTCAGACCCAAGCTGTGAGCTCCTGAGCTCTCCCTGCCTCTCTCCCTGCTCCCTGCTCCACCCTTGCCCCCAGAAATTTCACTTCAACCTCTTGAAGGCCTACCCACTGCTGGCCACATCTTGCTTCTCTCCAGAGGCAATGACCCTGCATGCCCTGCATCCAGATAGACCCTGGGTGACCCAGACACTTCCCAGTTGGCATTCCCTTCTCAAGGAAAGTCCCCAATATGCACAGAGAACAGTTCATCTGCTATTACATCAGGGGGCACAGCTGGGGAGCAGCAGAAGGAAATGTGACACCCATGTCTGTAACTGCTCCTCCCCAGGCTCCTTGTACCAACAAGGCTGCTCTTGGCCAGGACACAACTAGTCCAAATGTTAAACAAGCAGGAGGTAGCGTGAGAATTACTCCTGTACTCATATCTTACTGTATCCAGACTTATCTTAAGAAGAAAGTGCACACATAGTTGTCACATTAAGGATATGAGTCTAATACATGGCTAATTAGGGAAGCTCTCCTGCTGAGTTGGAAAGCTCAGAAAGGACCCTCTTGCTTTATAAACTCCTTCTCAGAGAGCAGCTTAGATGGGCTAGGTCCAGTCTTAGTCCCATATTTGGTCAGAGGTTTTTTTGTCTAAGGATAATGTGTATAACCACTTATCTTTACTGAAACAACATAAGGCTGTGAGGCCTCCACCTCATCCCAGGTGTCACTCAGTCACTGTAGCTGCCGGGCCTTATCTGAGCGTTAAACTGCACACCTCCACATCTGTCAAGTGCTTTGGCAAGATAAGCAAGTTACTCAACTGTCACCTTGGCTCAGGACCAGTGCAAGATAAGCATGTTAGTTAAATCACATTCTTGTTCACACCAAATTCAGTTCTCTAACCTCAATTTCTCAATCTCTAGATTTCAACCTTTTAGCTTTTACAATTACGGGTTGATCTGACCAGTAAATATTGAAGTTTGCATATTATATATTGATCTGTATGGAGTCATCCAGTAATCCAGCAGTCAGTTGTTTGCATATCATACCAGTTACCATGCTAAAATTTTGGTTTCTAAATTTCTATCAATATTGATAACACAATAACTTCAACCATAAGTATCAGCAGTCCTTGAGGATGCTCTAGTTCAGTGTAGATAAACTATAATCCCACGTACAAGTTCTTGGCATTGATTTTCCTATAAAGTACAGAGAGAAAATGCTCATTCATAATATGACTGACAGATTTTAAGTTAAAATTTGTCTCCTGTAGCCACTTCCAAAGTCACAGTTTAATAATTCCAGTTATTATTTTGCCTGTAAGATGTTACATTGGTGAACCGTATCCCCATTAATCATTGCTTTACCTCAGAGTGGGTGCGTCCTGAATAAGAAGCAATCTGCTTGACAGCATCTGAAATAGCAAAGTGCTATTACTTATATCTTTCTGCAATTTAGATACTCTACCTTCTGTAATAAGCATTATTTCACTGATGTCTTCCAAATGGACATATCATTTACAATCTGTAGATTTCTGGGCAGTGCTTGTTGGCAGTGTTGTAGCCTTGCAAAGAGTATCTGGGAGATGGATCCACAAACGATTACACAGTCCTGATCTTACCTGTTCCACGTATTTCACGACTTACACCAGGGTGAGCAAGACACAGCTCCTGTTGTTGAGTATTGCCTGGAGTCTTCTGACTCCCTTTTGATCCATCTCCATAGAATTGGTGTAAGAGGCTGTTTTCTCCAGAGGCAACAAAGTGTTAGCAGTCCCAAAATATGTTGACATCAACAGTCCTACCACTGGTAAGTCCACTGTCTATGTTCCATCACTGATAACCCACACAGTGTGTCACAGGGTATGCTGAGTTCTGAACATATCAGATGAGATATCATTGCTAGCCAGATGAGACCAAGTGTCATAGTCTGAACTAGCAAGGTGGGTTAATTTGACAAAATGTAAGGAGAGAGGCTGTAGCCTCATCTAGAGTAGGATGGGGTTGTGGTGAGGAAGTGAACTTGTTGCCACAATTATCCAATTCTCTACAGCAGCTTCTTGTGCTGCTGTCCAGAGAAAGATCACCACTCACACCTGCCTGAGGTCACAGAGCAAGGAAGGGGCCAGGCAAATGGATGCTGCCTTTATAATTGCCCCAGGAGATGATTCCCTTTTCAACCAAAATGCATGTCTGGTGTCTGAATTTATGTCTGTTTTTGTCCTTGCCTGAACACAGATTATTTAGAAAAAGTTGAAAGAGCTTATCCTGTTGTGTAGGACTCTGTGATTGTGCCAACACATGTTGAATAGAAACATATGGGAAAGTGAAAGGAACATGTGGGAAAGAATTCAATCCATAATGCAGAATTATGGTGGGAAGCATTTAAAAGACACAGCAAAAAGGCATGCAATTTTATAGGTGATTAGAAAATCAATTCTGAGAAATGAGATAAAGTTATGGTTCAATTAGGTGCTGAAAGCCTCTAGAGTACAAGAGGCAAGGGCCTCCTATATGCCTAAGGAGATAAAACCCACTACAAACTTGGAGCCATGCTTTGATGATTAACATGAAGTCTCTTAACCCATATTAACATCCACAAATAAATGACATCACTTTTGGAAGTGGTCAGCATACATAGCAGCTGTTGAAATGCATTCAGATACCACAGTGACAAGCACAGTACAGGAAACAAAACTAGCTGGAGCCATGAAAGTGAGAACCGAGGTGAACCCTTGATATTTCTCCTTTGGCAACACTCCCTTTGAATTTTATGGGTTTCACCTCAGCCCCTTATGTGAAGTAGCCCTTTGCTGGATCTGTCTGACAGCTGCATAGCCTGGCCCTCCAAGACCCCTGCCTCTCGTACTGAGGTACAGTGGCTGCATGAGGCTCCCTGCAGCCTTCACACGTCAGAACTCCAAGCGCTGACCCCACATCAGGTGAGTTGATCAGACTGAAGCACTCCTGCAGGCAAGCTGCGATTACAGCCCCATTTTTCCAGCCCCTGGCATCCTGCTGATGCTAGCCAACAGTTCAGCTGAATGCAGGGAACCAACGGCCTTGAACACCCCCAGTGGTCCCATAGGGAGTGATTTAGGAACAGATACTTCTGCAAAGAAAGAGGATGCGTAAGCTGGGTAAAAAGAGGCTCATGCTCCCTTGTAATGAATTCTTCTGAGCAGTGGTGAATCTGATCTTTTCTAGGAATAAAAGATGGAAGTTTCAGGCTGTTTGTTTCTGCTTGTAACTGAGGATATCTGCACAGGACACCTCCTGCAGCAGTTCTCCCAACATTCTGAAGGCTCACAGCACTTCAGGAGAAGGCATGTGAAGCACTGAGTTCACCACTGATTAAGGCATTTCCACTTCAACAAAAAAATAAATGAATAGAAAAATCCTTGGCAGCCAACCAAAACCTCAACATCATGGGCCCCACGCCTTACGAAAGCCTGGAGGAGGCGGAGAGAAAGGCAGGGGCTGGCTGGACCAGGTTTATTTAAGTGCTTGGGAGTGGCAATGGGCATGCAGAACCAGGAGGCGACCAAGGGAGACAAGTGGGGACAGGATGGCAGTGCCTTGCATGGAGCTGAACAACAAGATGAAGATGCCCATCCTGGGGCTGGGCACCTGGCAGGTAGTGGTGCTGTGGTTCTTGTGGATGCTGCAGGGAGGAGGATCCAAGTTGAAGGAGGGAAGATTTAGGTTGGATGTTAGGGGGAAGTTCTTTACAAGGAGAGTGGTTAGGCCCTGGAACGGGCTGCCCAGGGAGGTTGTGGATGCCCCGTCCTTGCACGTGTTCAAGGCTAGGTTGGACGGGGTCCTGGGCAACCTGATCTGAATGTGTATGTTTGGTGGCCCTGCTAGGCAGGGGAGTTGGAACTACATGATCCTTGAGGTCCCTTCCAACCCGGCTGATTCTGTGATTCTGTGATTCTGTGAGGAGAAGGTAGGGGAGTTGGGGGAGGGGGGGCAGAGTAGGGTTGAAGTGACAAAATATAAAAAAAACAGGTTTTGGAGGGCTGCCTCACTGGTGTAACTGGGCAGATGGACTGTCAGACAGCAGGCATGGGGCAGGAGGGGGGAAAGTGAAGAAAGATGGCAAAAAAAGTAAAATGAGAATAAGAGAAGAAAGTCCAAATAAAAGGCAGAAGCTGGGAGGGGAAAAAATGTGGATTGCAAAAGGCTTCCTGTCCCAGTGCTGGCTGCTGTTTATGGGGCTGCAAGTGACAAAATTCCTTGAGTCACACTGGAGGGAAATGAGAATGGGAAATGATACTGTGTTAGCCTACTAGAAAGGGCAGGGTCAAAATCATAGAACCAGAGACTCATAGGGGCTGCAGATCATGTTCAATCCATCTGCTAATGTCTGGCAGAAATTAACTTCTTTCTGTTCCACTCCCAGTGCTGCAGTCATTTCCCTACAAAAAGGGTAAGTTAAAATTCAGTTTAAATGTTGGTGACAGGGAGCAGCAGCTGTACAGGGAGACTTCGGGGGGCTGTCACAGTGGGTGCTGGCCAGTGGCAAAGGGAGGGTTCATGGTATGATTGTGCTTGTTTTCAGGCTCCTCCAGGGAAGGTGGAAGAAGTGGTGAAACACGCTATCGATGCTGGCTACCGCCACATCGACTGTGCCTATTTCTACCAGAATGAGCATGAAATAGGGAATGCAATCAAGCACAAGGTCAAGGAGGGGGCTGTGAAGCGGGAAGACCTCTTCATTGTCACTAAGGTATAACAATGCAGGAATGTTGCTGCATTTAAGTTTTCTCGCAGATAAACCTTTCTTTCATCTATAAAGCAACCTAAGGGCTTGTTCCCTTCTGCAGTGTTTATTTCATGCCTGTGGGCTATGAATTCAATTCTTTATTTCAATTTTGACTGAACTTTATTAGGAACTGGTGAAAACTTTGGAAAAATAGGATGGCTGTTGCCATCATAACAATTTCGTTGCATCTACTGAGGGTTCATGTGTATGCTCTCTAGAAAGATCAGGAAAACAAGACAAATCAGATGTTTGAATTCACAGACACTGTACTACCTATTGGTGTGCAAGACATCTGAGAATTATATCATGCAGAAAATGTAGGTCTGAGAGTGAACAGAAGTATATAGTATATAGTTATACTATGGAACTTAAACCTGAAGCAGTTTGTGTTTGTACTGTTATTCTTTATCTCATTCACTTGTCTCAGCAATGTTTACTACCACAAAATGAGAACACATCAACTAAAAAACTTCTGACTTCTGGGTTTTCTAGCAAAAAGCAGGAAAACACTGAGCATAGATAAGCTGTTCCACACACTCTTCATTTTTGTTAAAGAATAATTTTTAATTTGAATAATACTGGTAAGTTCTACTTAAACAACTTGAATTTTCATTTCAAAAGTAATTAAGGAAAAATCCTCACAGTGGCCAGATCAAAGGGACGGAAAGAGGGTAGCTATATGATGCTCGTGAAATTTGGTTTGTAAAAAAATAAGTGTATATAAATAATCTGTAGCAGTAGAAATTTTGCTGTGTCAGATACACTTTTTCATTTGGTTCTGAGAATCTCTTGATTGTCCATCTGAAATGTCTATTTTCACTACTAACTTCTTTACTTGTGTTGTATTTGTCGTATCCTACCATTAAAATATTAGCATCCTTGTCTTCAGTGAGCACTCAGTGGGTGGGAAGGCAGTTGTCTTCCCTGACCAGCAAAGGAGAGGTTCTTGTCCTCTGATCTGGATGGTGAAAGTTGTAGAGTCACAGTTGAGCTTGATTTCTCCCCACAGTTGTGGAACACATTTCATGAGAAGTCCTTGGTAAGGGAAGGGTGCAAAAGGAGCCTTACTGCACTGCAACTGGACTACATCGACCTGTACCTAATGCACTACCCTATGGGATTCAAGGTAGTCTTGCTCTACATTCCTCTTTTCTCCTTACCTGGGTGGTAATAGTTCATTCTCTCTATAATGCTGTGGCTTACTTCATTATACAGCTAGGATGTGCTACAGTTCATTTTGCTCCTCCCTAAGTCTGACAGAAGCATGCTTTCAGTTAGTAACTAAGCAGTGATATGTTTGAAAGTGTGGGTCTGGCTGTCCATTTCTGTTAGAGTGAGATAATTGTGGTTGGAAGCCCTGCTAATAACCTCTCTAAGTCTTCAGGTTAATTGTAACCAGTGCATGAGGGTGCAGTTCAGGATCATGAACTTCTATTGGGCCAGATCCGTGTGAAATCTCAGCTAGAGGTGTTGGCTTGAATTGGGGTAACCAACCGTGAAAAAAACACACATAACACAGAAAGAATGTGTTTCTTTTTCACCCAGTCTGCACCAGTGTAAAATAAATAGAAACTCTAGAATAAAGGTAGAGGTGGGCCTGTTGCCTTCACGACAGACCTGCTTAAGCCATTAAGATGTTTACTGCTAATCCCTGTCTCTTTGTAATGATGAATTTGTAGAAGCATGGCTCTCAACCAAGAGAATGTGAATCATTTTTAGTTATGTGATATGTTTAAATAAACTGCTAACTTCTGATCTGTAATTCCAGTCACAAATCTAGCATATGGTCGAAAATTCAACTCTAGTATCTGTGACTTCTGCCTTGAAATTACAGGCTGGTGAAGAACTCTTGCCTGAAGATGACAAAGGTATGATTATTCCCAGTGACACAGATTTTCTGGACACATGGGAGGTAAGTTAATGTTTGGTCTTTTGTGTGGGTGTCAAAATTAAATGCAGCAGAGATGTGCATGCATAATGAAAGTAAGGAATAGGTTTGGGCACAGAGGGTAGTCACACAGTATTATATTTTATAACCAGAACAGCTACTTCCTCTTCTTGTTTTGAGTAGCCAGAAGGAGATGTCTTTCCTATAAATAAAGAGAACAAACCTAACAGCACTATGGATGCTATCACTGAAATAATATTTAAATATGCACAACGGTGGAGCTGAGGTGTAGATTAATACAGGTGTGGCTGTTAATTTTCTGTGAGTTTCATACAGATAAGAATTCTTGCACTTTGCAGCAAAGGGCATCAGCATCCTTCAATTCTACTTTCCTTGTGGACTGAGAGGATTCAGGATCTGCTCCTGCTACCTCTAACAGTGATGCTGTGGCTCTGGGAATTCAGTTTTTCTCTGCAACAGTAGAGTACAATTTCAAGAAAGTATGTTGTAACCAGCTTACAGCTAACGTAGTCTCAGAGTAGACTCTCAGAGCCTAAGCAAAATATATGTACCCTGTTAAAAGGTTGACCAACTCATTCTTATGCTACTCTCCCATCAGCAAGATGATATAAAGTACTCAGATAACACAAGACACAAAGACTTTCAATTTTTAAATTGAATGTACCATTTTTAAATCTATTATGAGTTGCTTGCTGGTTTCTCAATAGCTTTAGTGAAATACAGTATCATGGTTGACAGTTAATACCACCTCACAAGTAAACAATTGTTGTCCTCCTCTTTAGGCCATGGAAGAGCTGGTGGACTGCGGCAAGGTAAAAGCCATTGGAATCTCAAACTTTAACCATGAACAGATTGAGAGAATCTTAAACAAGCCAGGATTGAAATACAAACCTGTAGTTAACCAGGTAAGACTTTGATTTTTATTCCTGAATATATTCAAGCTACATTTCAGCACTTAAGCCTGTTTTCTGCCATGACTTTTTAATAGTTTGGTGCCATGGAAAGATGTCACAAAGCAGTAAGGTACCTTTCATTGTCTAGAAGATCCTCCAGGTCAGTGCTGCCTGAAATACACAGAGCTTCACTACAAGTGAATTTTACACCAGTGCTAATGGTTTTTACCTCACAGAAGTCTTGAAAGAAAGGATTTTTGTTTTTTGGTAGACTTGCATGTGTGTAATGCTGTGGACATTTGAGAATAATACCATCTGAAACATGAACAGTTTGGCTTATTCATACCACAGTAATAGGAAACAGATGAGACTATTTCATTCTTAAACATCAAAAAACAGTGAAAATATCTCTGGCCTTGTGTAAGTCCTTGCAATTTTCTGCTGTGCATCCCCTTTCACACTCCCAAGTACCATTCACATCACAGCGCAAGTTGTCACAGGTCCACTTCTGCCAGCTCAGGGATAACCAGCCAGATCTCCAGTGCAAGCTACTGCACAAGTGTGGCAACGTACAGGAACGCCTTAGCGCATTCACTGAATTTATTTATTTTTCAAAATAAAAGAAAACACCAGAATTAATTATAAGAAGCAGGCTTGAAGCAAACATTTATATCATGTTCACAGATTCAACAAACTCCTTTTTAATGTGGAAAAATATTCAAGCAGTACTGTGCAAATACATTGTATTTAAAGCACTGGCTTCACATTGAGGAAAATAGGAAAGCTTATGCACCTGTAAAATATTATTAAACTTTATATAATGCTTCTGTAAGAAGGGATAAGCAAGAACATCCTGCCTTTGTGTTTGAGTAGGAATTTCAGGAGCCAAGGAACATACTGCAGCAACATTCTGAAGGTCAGAGAACCCACAGCAAAGCAGCAGTGTGTGCTTGTTTGTGTATTCTGCACATCATCTAGAAAATATCCAGAAAGGCTACGCTAAGGAAGCTCATGCCCCCAGGCTTCTTTGGGAATTAGGCAGACTCCCTGAGGAGAGAGTGGATGGCTCAGAGCAGAAACTTCAGGTGTTCTGAGCTGCCCCTTTGGAGATGCAGCACTGTTCTCCTGATCAGTTCAAGAAGACTGATTTGCCTAATTTTTTTACACATTGCTGTGATGTGAATGACTTTTTTAAAAGATCACTTTAATAGTAAACCTGGGAGTGTTTTCACATTATCTGTGACTCAAGAGGAGTTAAAATGTTATGCTCTGGAGGCCAGTGCAGACTGCCTCCGTGCCGACCACGATGTTGCTGTGCTTGCAGATCGAGTGCCATCCATACCTGACCCAGGAGAAGCTGATCAAGTACTGTCACTCTAAAGGAATCGCCGTGACTGCATACAGCCCCCTGGGCTCTCCTAATCGGCCATGGTAAGAAAGCATGGCAGCCTCTCCACACAAAAGTCTGCCACTTGTAATTAGAATTTTTGCAGCAAAATATGTAAATGATGCAGCTACAATGAGAAAACTGCTGTTGCTTTGTTGCAAATCCTTTCTTCCTGCAGAGATGCTAATACATCTCCATCTTCAGTATCCTGTCTTGTGTTTTTGATAGGGCCAAACCAGGGGAACCTATGCTGCTGGAGGATCCTAAGATTAAAGAGATTGCAGCAAGACATCATAAAACCCCTGCCCAGGTAAGAGGTGTTGACAGAGCAAACTGCTCATCTTCACAAAGAATCTTTGAAACTTGCTCATTTATGCAAGGTGATTTTTTTTTTCTTCTTCTTTGCTTGTCCCACTAAAGAGATCTTGCCAATGGTGGACAGGAACTGCGCTTCAAACAAATCCATTATGTTCACAGGCTATCAACCATAGTCATATTTTAAGAAAGGCAGAGCAGGAAAAAAATGTATCCAACAGGCTACCAATGAGAGGGGAAAGTTTTAAATATATATATATATGTATATATGTATATAATTTAAAGATTTGAAAAATCTTTGTGTAGGTGAGGTACTTATTTCTGAGCCAAAACAGTCTGCAGTATTGTGCTTATCTGGCCTGAGCACCCATGTAACACAAGCCAGAAACAACATTGTTTTTTCTCTCCTCCACAACCCTAAAAGAAAGAAAAAATCTTGAGGAGCAAAGATGTAGAAACAGCATAAGCCAGAAACAACTGATAATTTTCTCATTAGACCATAAATAAATGCTGGATCATCATAATTGGCCTGTACAGACTTGCAGTCTTCCAAAAAGCAAACGCGGGTGTAGAAAGAAGAATCTGTGAATAAAGGGGAGAAAGA